CTGGATTCCCTATCTCTCTTTGAATGAGGGAGGATGGAGGTCTTTGAAATCCTTTCTCTTTCCCTAGTCCTGTGGTCTTCTTAACAGTGTGAATTATATTGGCACACCCAGTAATCGCTGAGACACAACGTGGTACTTGTGTGTAAGAATCAATCACACCCTATATGACTGAGTCAGTAAATGCTGTAAGGGGCTGTGCAAATTCACCTCCCTGTGAGTGGGTGGCACTTGGAACAAGCTGGAGCATTATTTTGGTACCTGTGACCAGCTGTAGCCTCTCAGGAGAAGCACTCAAATTCCCTAGGTGGTGGGTAAAGCCCTGGAACTTCCAGATGGATCCTTACTCTCCACCACAGCAGGGTTGGGGAGTAAGGCTGAGAATGGTTGTGTTAGGTGAGCTTGCCCTCCGGTTCCACAGAAACTGATAATGTAACTGTTTCAGTGGGGGTCAAAGGTCTGCTCCTAGCTTCTTGGGAAAGCTGCCAGGGAGGGGCTGAAGTGGTCCCATCTATACAGAATGTCTGCTTATGGAGGCAGGACCATCTTAGATTAATAATCTGCTGTCAGGAGTGGGTTTTGCTCTTTTCCCCTCCCCACCTCCAGTCTCCCTCCAGCATCTGCCAGCAGGCAGGAGCTTAAACTAGCTGAGTTCCCCATGATGGCACTGCCAGTATGAAGCTTCTCTGTCCAGGATCCTTCAATGGACTGAGGGGAAGGCCTTATGGGGGCAGGGGTACACCACATAGTGCTGCAGATGGGACTCACACTGTGCTCTTTTCAGTTTTGCCCATGCAGATTCTCTCACTTCCCAAGATTAATTCATAAATCTTCCCTCTGTGCTTAGGGGCTAGGGGATCTGGCCTGCAGGCCTGTTCCTTGGTCCCCAAAGATCAATGCCTGTCCATGCATTGATTGTGGGGTGATCAAGCAGGTTTGATGTCCCTCTGCTCTGAGGAATGCCCTGCTCTGATGGAGCAGCCAGGCAAACTGCACCAGGGAGGGCCAGTGAGCATAGAGCTCACAGTCTGAGCACCCTTAGTTCTCTGCATGTCCAGGAGGAAAGGTTTAAGCCCATCTCTCTGTGGAAGCCCTGGTGGGGTATATGCACCAATGGGGGGCGAGGGCACCCATAAGCAGCTTCTGAGAGCCTTGGTTCAATCATCTATCTCAGCAGCCATGGGCATGGGAGGGGAAGACAAGGAAAAGAATCTTGATAAAGGAAAGCTAGCACTCTGGTCATCTCTGTCCTCTCTGGAAGATAGCCTGCTCAGAATGTCTAGGCTCTGGGGTCATACAGATGCCCCAGGAGCCACTTCCCCCCCTGTGATTCCCAGTCTGGACCAGAGTTGGGAAGGTCTGTGTGGGAATGAGCAAGACAAAAACTAAGGGGCTGAATTCCCCTGAGGAGGACAAAGGCACATGGTGGGTGGAGAAGCAATATGGTGCCTGCTATGTTGGCTCGGGTCTGTGGTGATGGAAGTATCTGAATGGGGCTGGAAAACTGGTGCTTTGTCCTCAAAAGCTCTCAGTTTCATGGTTCACTGGCACAAGCAGCTTTTGGACTCATGAGGGTAAAAAGGCTCTCCAGCAGCTCAGGGGCCCACTGACTGCTAGGGATGTGGGAGAGGGAGAAAAAACTGTCCCACCTCCCCTTTTCACTGAACTCCAAGCTTCTGGGGGGGGTTGTCCTCTGCTGATAATCTTGCTCCTCTTGTTCTGCTGCACTACTTTCCATGGAATCTCTTGTAGGTTCTGGCACTTTTTCCTTAGAATTATACCAAATCTATGATTGTTTTTTCTTTTTCATCTAAAACATTTCCTTCTTTCTGAGATGATCTGGCAGCTGGTATCACTGGTTAGCAATCTTATCTCTTCCAGGTCCCCAAATCACTGGCTCTCTTATCAATGTGAATATAATCCAATTGTGATACACAGGAAATAATAATCTTTCAAATGTTTTAGTAAACTATGAAATAATTCAGCAAATAAACAATATATATGGCGACAGACCCAGAGGAATATAACTTGAAAAAGATATATTTTCAGAAGGCAGGGCGAAGGCCACATACACCAGAGCTGGAGGGTTCGAATCCAGCCTAGGCCTGCCAAACAACGACGACAACTACAACCAAAAAATAGCCGGGCATTGTGGTGGGCACCTGTAGTCCCAGCTACTTGGCAGACTGAGGCAAGAGAAACGCTTAAGCCCAAGAGTGTGAGATTGCTGTTAGCTATGACACTATGGCACTCTACCCAGGGCGACATAGTAAGACTCTGTCTCCAAAAAAAAACCTTTAATGACACAGTGAGAAAAAACGGGCTTTTTTTTTTTTTTTAAATAGGCACACTAATAATTGGGTAAAACCAAAGATACCTGTTTCTTATATTAAGAAAACAGTAAGAATTTTGTGATTATTTTGCCCTTTATACTGGTATCTTATTTTTCACCATTATTTTCTCCAAATTCTCCACAAGTTCTCCAATACACTCTCAGACAAGATGTTAACTGACATTTTTAGTCTCCGATACCTTGGATGAAAATTCCCAGGGCACTGTTTTCTCACTCAGTTTTTGAATTGGAAAAGAATACACAAAAGAGGCTATGTGGGAGAAGCATGGGCTTTGGAGGGGACATGTAGAGGTAAATTACACATATTTTGGGGTACTGTGGTTAATTATTTACACCTCTGAGCCTCAATGTTCTCATTTGTAAAATAAGGATTGTATTATTTGTTTCACAATTATTGAAAGGAACAAAAAAAAAAAAGAAGAAAAATTATTGAAAGGAACAATCACTGGATATGCAATGGTCTCTACTATTTTTTTCCTTTTACACCTGCTGAAAGAAAAAATTTATTTTGCTTTATATATCCAATAGGCTTTCAATGTAAATAGGTCTGTACCAAGCTGAAAAGTGTCCCTCCAAAACTCATGTCCACCGGGAACCTGTGAGTTTGACCTTATTGAGAAATAGGATCTTTGCAGATGCAATCAAGTTAAGACGAGGTCCTTTTGAATTAGACTGGGCCCTAAATCCTATGACTGGTGTTTCTCATGAGAAAGACATGTGAAGAGAAAGATATAGAAAAGGCCCATGTGATGATGGAGGCAGAGGAGGCAAGTTACACGTAAGCCAAGGAATGCCGAGCATTGCCACTAGAAGCCAGGAAGAGGCAGGGAATGATTCTTCCTGTGACACTTTGATTTCAGATTTCTATCCTCCAGAACGGTGAAACAATACATTTATATTGTTTTAAGCCACCCAGTTTATGGCATTTTGCTATAGCAGCCTTGGAAAACTAATATAGTATTGATTCCTAAAGCAGAAATGGAAATATTTTGGCTTATCCTCCATATAGAAAAAAAGTATCACGCATTTTGCTGTGGCTAAATGATATCAAGCAGATTCATGTTCTAATCTTGTTTGCCATAGAGTTTCCTAAAATACATTTTAATGGGTGTGTTAGTCATGAATCATGTTTATAAGTGACAAAAACTCATCTCAAATGGGCTTAAAAAATGGGTGTGTAAGGCCAGGCGTGGTGGCTCATGCTTGTAATCCTAGCATTCTGTGAGGCTGAGGTAGGTGGATTGCCTGAGCTCAGGAGTTTGAGACCAGCCTGAACCAGAGTGAGACCCCATCTCTAAAAATAGCTGGGTGTTGTGGTGGGTGCCTATAGTCCCAGCTACTTGGGAAGCTGAGGCAAGAGGATCACTTGAGCCCAAGAGCTTCAGGTTGCTGTGAGCTGTGTTGCCACAGCACTCTACCAAGGGTGACATAGTGAGACTCTTGTCTCAAAAAAAAAAAAAATGTGTGCAGTATGTGGTAGAGGTGGAAACAAGGTGGGTGGCACCTGTGACTCAAGGAGTAAGGTGCCAGCCCCATTTGCCAGAGGTGGTGGCTTCAAACCCAGCCCTGGCCAAAAAAACCCCAAGGTGAGTGGGGGAGGGATTATGTTAGTGGATCCTGATTTCCAAGGCAGGATCTGTCCTAATGTAACAGATCTTCTAGCTAGAGCAGCGGTTTTAACGACCGCTATTCCTGTCACGACCCACAGGAACTGTATTAAGGGTCCGTGGCACTAGGAAGGTTGAGAACCACTGCTCTAGAGCCACTGAGGGCATGGCTCTCCTGGTTTCTGTTTCCTGTATATTAACTTCACTCCTCTATCTATAGACTATATTTATCTAATAGGTAAAAATATGACTGCCTGCAACTCCCGGGTTTTACCTTTTTTAGAATTTACCTCCAAAAAGAGAATGACTACATTATTTGGATCTCTAAGTCCAAAAAGCCCAGGAAAAGATTTTGATTGGCCTGAGTAGGGTCAGCTGTCCACTCCTTTCTTTCTTTCTTTTTTTTTTTTTTTCAGTTAGCTATCCACTCTTGAACTCTCGAATGCGGCCTCGTGGCTGGGCAGTCCCCAGAGATAGGGATAATGCAGACAGTCTACACAAGAAATGGCTCTAGATTCCTTCCTTAATAAAGAAGTAGTTTTATATAAAAAAAAAAAACAACTCCAAATTCTAACTAAAATGCTAAAATGAAGTGAGCAACCAAGGAAAGAGAAGTAATTTTAAAGGCAGATACAAATATGATTTGGAAAGTAAGACTCAGTTGTAGACAAATCAAACTATCAATAAATACAATACATTGACAGCTTTCTTAAAAAGACAATAAGCATATGAACTGGATGCTTGTGTTATGTATGTAAGTTAAATATTGATAAAGTAATTTTTACAGTTGGAATTCAATGAAAAACTGTTTTCTCTATTTAAAAGAATAAACATATGAAAAATTAAGCAACTACTTTTTAGTTAGAAGAATTAATTTATAGGAATTCTTATCTTTTGGTAGCAAAGGACATACATTTCATCACCAGCAAACGTTTGACTGCCTCTCGTAGATAGGGCACTGACGTGCCATGAGATTCTTTCCAGAGACAACTAAACTCAATGAACAATTTGTTACTTTCTTAGAAATAGAAATGATTACTTACCCTGTTACTAGGCTTTCTCTCAGCTTGATATAGTTCAAAACCATTTATTTTATTGGTACTCATTTTATCAGTGTCAGCAATGACGTAATGTCGAGGTGAGTAGGCACTGGACAAGTACTCAAGTAGCCTCAGGATCTCTGTGGTGTGCCCACCTAGAAAAAACATCACAAGTCCTAAGATTAAGAAATTCACAATGGGGCGGTGCCTGTGGTTCAGTGAGTAGGACGCCAGCCCCATATACTGAGGGTGGTGGGTTCAAACCTGGGCCCCGGCCAAACTACAACAAAAAAATAGCAGGGCATTGTGGCAGGTGCTTGTAGTGCCAGCTACTCAGGAGGCTGAGGCAAGAGAATCGCCTAAGCCCAAGAGCTGGAGGTTGCTGTGAAGTGTGACGCCACAGCACTCTACCGAGGGTGATAAAGTGAGACTCTGTCCCTAAAAAAAAAAAAAAGAAAAAAATTCACAATGGACATATCCATGTGAACGTGTTATATAGATGTCATAATTTTATGCAAGGGAAGGACCACTGTGATTGTCTACTTCTCAAAAGACACAAGGAACATCTGGAAACGATAATCTATCCCCTTTATAGATACTACTTTTATAATGGGGAGAAGATAATAAATCTATAAAAACAAAATCAGTAGTAGTAGTGGGTCCTGAGGAAGGTACAAAGAAGTATAAGACACAGCTCCTGTTATTAAGAAGACAGGTGGGAAAGGGGCAAGACACACATACATAAAGAGGATAAAAGACAGCAAGAAAAATGAAAATGGGGGGGGAGCTCAGTGCCCATAGCTTAGTGGTTAGGGTGCTGGCCACATACATGGGGGCTGATGGGTTTGAACCTAGCCCGGGCTTGCTGAACAACAATGACGACAACAACAACAAAAAAAACCAGGCATTGTGGAGGGCACCTGGTTATTTCCCAGCCACTTGGGAAGCTGAGGCAAGAGAATGGCTTAATCCCAAGAGTTTGAGGTTGCCGTGAGCTGTGACGCCATAGCACTCTACCGAGGGTAACTCTACATGGTAAGACTGTCTCCCCCACCAAAAAAAAAGAAAGAAAGAAAAGAAAATGTGGGGGTAAAGCAAATGGTTATGAAAAATCAATACCCTAAGAGTAGGGAAGATCCCTGGTGAGGCTGAGATGCCATGAGAAGTAAAGATAACAGACAGGAGCAGGGAGGCCCCTGGGTGCAGTGAGGATTGTCAGGGCATGAGATGGTAAAATCTGAGACACATTCAAGGGATGGTGGGAGTACTAGGAAGAAATGTTAGGGTGGGCTGGGCACCTGTAGCTCAGTGGTTAGGGTGCTGGCCACATGCATGGTGGGTTTGAACCTGGCCTGGGTCTGCTAAACAAAAAACAGTAGGTGAGCACTGTGGCAGGCGCCTGCTACTAAGTAGTCCCAGCTACTAAGGAGGTGGTACGGTAAGAGAATCACTTGAGTCCAAGAATTTGAGGTTGCTGTGAGCTATGACCCCACAGCACTCTACCAAGGGTGACATAGTAAGACTCTGTCTCAATAAAATAAAAAGAAAAAGAAAAAAAGAAATGTTAGGGCAAAGTAAGGTCAGGGAAGTAGGATGGGAAATGGGTAGCCAGTCACTGAAGGTCACTGAAGACTTCTGTGCGGAGAAGCGAGGTAGGAATGAGCAATAATAGCAGGACTTGGGTCTCCCTAACAAAGACTTCTTGGTCCTCACTGTAACCACAGCACCTAACAGAGGTCTCAGCACACTGATAGGTCTTCAAATATTTCCCAGCTTCCCCAATAAATCTGTGTATGGTTTTTAAAGTCCTACAATCTCCAAAATGTTAATGCTTTGATTTCAAAAGCACAAATTAAAAAACCAGCTATGTTTACTGAGGTTTCCTCCTCAAGCTTACAATCAAACTCTTTACCAAAGAGCCATTTATCGCACCCATTTCAGTTTCATTTCACAGCTCTTTGCTCCAGTCAGGTTCACATCTTTATATTGTCCACATTCTCCCTTTACCTTTGATCATGTTGTGTCCCCTACCTAGAAAGCCTCTCCTACCTCACCTTCCTTATTGGAAGAAAGAGCTTTTTACTAGTGATCCATGAACACTCAGAAAGACAATCAAACAAATTAAGGATGTCTTTCCCCCAACACACACACACTTTATAGTAGAATGGGAAGGAATTCTTTCTCTATTCCTGAAGGAATTATACATAGAAAGAAATGTAGCATAGATTTACAGGAATTAAAAATCATATGTTTTCTTTATGACTTGTCACCCATCTTCTTAACTGGGGCCTGTAATTTACACAACTGGCTTATACTCATTTCAGCATTTTTAGTTTTGGCCTTTAACAAATGTGGTGGCTTGCAAAATAAGTACTTATTTTTATAGCTGGAGCAATTAAGAATAAAACCTAATATCCAGGACATTTTCTCCTACAATTAAAATTTCATTATATGTATTTTTAACAATCTTTTTCTTTCCCAAAAAGGGAGTTAAAATCAAAATGGATTCACCTGTTGACAAAAATGAAGCCAGGAAGGACATGAAGGAGGGTTCACATGCATGCACACTTGCCTAGCAACAAGAAATATTGAAAAAGATCATACCAAAACCATGATCTTGCACAAAGACTACTTCGACTTTACACAAAAAATACTCTGGCAAGAACATCTGCCCAGCAACTAACTGTCCAATCCTGGACTGACATCACCCTTATTATTGATCTTTGTAGCCAAGGCTAATTGTTTCAAAACTTATGTAACCCTTGGCGGTGCCTGTGGCTCAAAGGAGTAGGGTGCCGGCCCCATATGCGGGAGGTGGCGGGTTCAAACCCAGCCCCCAAAACTGCAACCCCCCCCCCCAAACTTATGTAACCCTCCTCAATTTACCTTTAAAAATTCTTGTCTTTCCTTGACTCCCTGAATATGCCCATAGCTTACTCTGGTGAGAGTATTTCACAATGCAGTGCTGACTCTTGAATAAAATATTCTCTTTGGAGAATCTGTTTGTTTTTAGATTGATAATACATTCACAGAAAATTTAATCTTGTTACTGAAAAAAGTCATTAAAATAATGGACTTTGTCTTCCATTTTATTTTTATTAAGATCTATCTGGGGGAGAATAAAATTCTCTTAGTTCTACTTTAAAACATATCCAGGTGGTGGCGCCTGTAGCTCAAGTGGCTAAGGCGCCAGCCATATACACCAGAGCTGGTGGCTTCGAATCCAGCCTGGGCCTGCCAAACAATGACAACTACAACCAAAAAATGGCCGGGCATTGTGGCGGGCGCCTGTAATTCCAGCTACTTGGGAGGCTGAGTCAAAAGAATTGCTTAAGCCCAGGAGTTTGAGGTTGCTGTGAGCTGTGATGACCCGGCACTCTATCCAGGGCAATAGCTTGAGGCTCTGATTCAAAAAAAAAAAAAAAAAAATCAGGCCAGGCACAGTGTCTCATACCTGTAATCCTAGCACTCTGGGAGGCTGATTTGGATGGATTGCCTGAGCTCATAGGTTCGAGACCAGACTGAGCAAGAGCAATATCCCTGTCTCTAAAAATATAGCCAGGCATTGTGGTGGGCACTTGTAGCCCCAGCTACTTTGGGGGCTTGAGCACAGGAGTTTGAGGTTGCTGTGAGCTATGATGCCACAGCATCTACTGAGGGTGACAAAGTGAGACTATCTCTTAAAAAAAGAAACAAAAGCAGGCGGTGCCTGTGGCTCAGTGAGTAGGGCATCAGCCCCATATACCAAGGGTGGTGGGTTCAAACCCAGTCCCGGCCAAACTGCAACAAAAAAATAGCCAGGCATTGTGGCAGGTGCCTGTAGTCCCAGCTACTCGGGAGGCTGAGGCAAGACAATCACCTAAGCTCATGAGTTGGGGGTTGCTATGAGCTGTGACATCACAGCACTCTACTGAGGGTGATAAAGTGAGACTCTGTCTCTAAAAAGAAACAAAAGCAAAAACATATCCAGCACCTAGTCACTTCTCATCACCTCCTTTTCTACCACCCTGCTCCAAGCCAATATTACCTCTCATAAGGATTATGAGCATAACTACCTGGTCTGTTCTGTTCCCCTTCAGTCTATCTCAACACAGAATCCAGTGTGATACTATTAGAAAGAGTCGATCAAATTATTTACCCCCAATAGCTTCAAGTCACATGAGAATACAATGCTTCATGTGATCTGACCCACAGCTGTACTCCTCTTGGGCTTTATCTCCTGCTTTCTCCTCCTTACTCAGTCTATTCCGGCCATCCTGGCTCTTTCCTGTTGGATATCTGCCACCCCTCTCCCAGGGAGGTGTCTTTAAAATGCAATCCCCTTCCCCACATCATAGTATTTAACACTATAATTTACTATGCAGTCTATATATTTGTTTTTTACTCTCCCCCACACCGGCCCCACTAGAAGAACTTTTTTTTTCTTTTGAGACAGAGTCTCACTATGTCGCTGTCAGTGGAGTGTCGTTGTGTCACAGCTCACAGCAACCTCAAACTCTTGGGCTTAAGTAATTCTCTTGCCTCAGCCCCCCAAGTAGCTGGGCTACAGGTGCCTGCCACAACGCCTGACTATATTTTGTTGCAGTTGTCATTGTTGTTTAGCAGGCCCAGGCCAGGTTCGAACCACCAGCCTTGGTGTATGTGGCTGGCACCATAACTACTGTGCAACGGGTGCCGAGCCTGGCAAGACCTTTTGTTCATTTTAGTACCGTACCTGCAGTGCCTAGAAAATAGTAGACCCTCCTCTTACTGAATGGATGAATGACAGACAATTTGATATTAAATCTAAAAATTTTCTAAGGAGATCGTATTGTGTTTCAAAGAAAATGAGTAGTTTTAATGGATGGTCTTTGAACACAAGTGGTTGACTTAATAGGTTTTTATGGAACCTAAAGATTGAATGTTGCTTTGTCTTCAAGGCAAGACTGAAAACAACTTCTTCCTCTTCCAAATTTTGGGCATGAACAATTAAACCAGTGTTTTTTAACCTTTTTATCTCATGGCACACTTAGTTAAACTTCCATGGTATGTTTACATTATGTTGATAAAAAAAAAAAATAGTTGGGCGGCACCTGTAGCCCAGTGGTTAGGGCGCCAGCCACATACACGGAGGCTGGCGGGTTCTAACCGGCCGGGGCCAGCTAAAACAATGACAACTACAAAAAAAAAAAAAAAAAAAAAAAAAAAAAAAATAGCCGGGCGTTGTGGCAGGCACCTGTAGTCTCAGCTACCTGGAAGGCTGAGGCAAGAGAATCGCTTAAGCCCAAGAGTTCGAGGTGGCTGTGAGCTGTGACGCCACTGCACTGTACCCAGGGCGACAAAGTGAGGCTCTGTCTCAAAAAATAAATATAAATAAATAAATAAACAAAAGAAAAATATACGCTAGAGGCCGGGCGTGGTGGCCAACACTGGGAGGCCGAGGCAGGCAGATCGCCTCAGTTCACAGGTTCGAGACCAGCCTGAGCTAGAGCGAGATCCCCGTCTTCAATAGCTGGGCGTTGTGGCGGGCGCCTGCAGTCCCATCTACTCGGGAAGCTGAGGCAAGAGAATCGCTTGAGCCCAGGAGTCTGAGGTTGCTGTGAGCTATGACGCCACTGTGCTCTACGGGGATGACAAAAGGAGACTCTGTCTCAAAAAAAAAAAAAAGAAAGAAAGAAAAATATACGCTACAGAGCGGCTTAATTACTGACAATGGTGAGTTACCTAACTCGTCATTAAAAGATGCCTGGGCTGCGTCAGCAAGCCAGCATTTTGCCCTAGCTGGGCTGACCGGTTCCGTCAACGCAGAAAAACTACGACTCTCATCTTGCAACGCTGCAAGAAGCGCTAAGGAGACCAGGGAAGAGGCGCGGTGCACGCTGGGGTTTGTAGTGACCCCCGAGCCCGACCCTTAACGCCTTGATACTTACCCGACCCAGCCACCACCAAGAGACTGACAGACTGCCGGGAAGAAACGTCCTGGGTACGAAGCACCATCCATAATCGCAGGACTAGAACCACCGCCACAGCTCCCGCTCCTGCAGCTAGCATGAGGAGATACACCATTTGAGGAGATGGCGCATGCGTGCTGTTCCCTGGAACCTGCAGCGGAAGAGCGGTCAAAGTTCACCACCACATGCGCCGGAAGACTCGAAGGAGGAGGGGCGCCTCCTGGTGGGCGGGGCTTACCGGACTGGGCGGAGTTAAGAGCTGAGGGCGGGGCCTGGGCTCCGTGGCAACACCTGGCTGCTCTGCAGTATGTGACGCTGCTGCAGTCGCAGCTGAAATTCGGGAAGTTAAGCTCTGGAGGAGTTTGATTTCCGCCGGATATGAGGCCAGGACCCCCTGAGCGCCCTTAAAGGCCCCGAAGCTTCCCATTAGGAGGTGTTCCAGCTCTTCCAACTTTGTGAATTCCTCCTGATGCTAATGGCATACGTCACTCTTTTTCTTTCTTTTAATACGAAGGGAAATGTTTCTGTTGCACAGACATTACTCAAAGTGTTTTCCAGTAAAAAGTATCCTTGGGGAAAAACTGAACGTAAGGCCCTCAAACAAAAACTCCCTCTTTCATGTTTTTTGACTTTTCTAGGCGTTTCCACAACTCCCAACAGTATGACCAGAATAGTTGCAGGTGATCAATTTATGCCATGTTCCTGAGGGACGTGGGAGCTCAGAGGCTCAAGGCAGTGGGGTAGAGAAGGCTGCACCTAACATTCAGTTAATTTTACCCTAGAGCATTCCCAGCTTGTTGTTCATGTCCTCAGCCAAGACGATGATCTGCCAACATGTTCTTTTATCCCAATTTTACCACTATTATTATTATTTTTTTTTTTTTGAGACAAAGTCTCGCTGCTGGAGTGCAGAGGCAGGATCACAGCTCACTGCAGCCTCAAACTCCTCAACTCAAGCAGTCTTCCTGCTTCAGCCTCCCACATGGCTGGAATTGGACCACATGTGGCCCAATTTTGCTTACTATTGTGTTTAAATAATCCACATTACAGTAATGTAAAAGTACTAAGATTAAGGAAGCCCCTTCACTCCAAATCCAATTTGCCTTAGGTCCATTACAGGCCTGTAGGTTATATAGAACAGGTATACAGATGAGTGAACAGATTCGGATTCAGATCTGCTTCCCAAAGAGGAGCAGTGTCAGTCACAGAATTACAAACCAGAAATCCTAACTCCCGATGCATGGGAGTACTACATCTTGTATTCCTTCACTAAATTCAAACTTGCCTGATCATCATTCTTACCTGGAGCCTAGAATGTGTTTTTAAAAGTGCAGACTCCTGGGTTCCACTAGAGAACTACTGAATCAGAATCTCTAGGGAAAGCACCCCAGGATCTGCTTATATAACCAGTGTTGTCAATTCTGATCAGGTCGCAGATTTGGGAGACTTTGTGGGTACATCATTACCTGGCTCTTGAGTCTCACATCACCTTCCAAATTCAGTCTTCCATTATATCCTTTTAATTCTACATTCTCACACTGAGTCCATAAGTGGATATTATTTCTCTCTTTACAAATAAAGAAGTAGATTTCATAAAAAATTAATTTGCTGCTCGGCGTTGATGCTCAGCGGTTAGGGAGCCAGCCACATATACACCAGGGCTGGTGGGTTTGAACCAGCCTGGGTTTGCTAAATAAATCAACAACAACAACAACAAAAATAAAAATAGCTGGGCATTGTGGTGGGCACCTCTCTAGTAGGCATCCCACCTAGTAGGGAGACTGAGGCAAGAGAATTGCTTAAGCCCAAGAGTTTCAGATTGCTGTGAGCTATGATGGTACAGCACTCTACAGAGGGTGACAAAGTGAGACTGTCTCAAAAAGAAAAAAAGATTAATTTGCCTAAGGTTACTTATCTAGTAAGTGGTGGAGAAGCTTACTAGTTTTGGACTTAGTAGTCAATGTCTCTCAAATTTGGATGGAATCAGAATCATCTGGGCTTACAGACGCATAGCTGGAAATCCAGAGGTATGCCCTCTGGTTTAGTATGAAAAATGGCTCAAAAATGTTACAAAAGATATCATTTTCTTTTATCCGCCCATTCCTAGCAATGGCTTCACCCTAAGAATTTTTCTTCTCTGATAGAATCAGATGTACCTGCCCAGGTGAGGCTAACCTGCCCAGGAAGAATTAACCAACCCAGGAAGAATTGAGTGTATGTCCCTCCCAGGTGGTAGATGGACCAATCCTTGTCTCTCTAGCCCTTTAAATCCTCCCTCCACCATTACCCACATGTGGATTTCTTCCTGGTTGGAGAGCCGACTTCATCTGCACCCAGGTGGAATAAAGCCATTTTAATTGTACAAACCCAGCCTCCAACTTCCTTTCATCTGGCACCTTGGGATAGTCTTTTATCTTTGACTCAGTAACCTTTCACCCTCATACTTACAAAGAGAAATCAATGGGGCCGGGCTCAGTGGCTCATGCCTGTTATTCTAGCACTCTGGGAGTCCAAGGCGGGTGGATTGCCTGAGCTCACAGGTTCAAGACCAGCCTGAGCCAGAATGAGACACTGAGGCTGGAGGGTTCAAACCAGGACCAGGCCAGCTAAGAGGACAACAACTGCAACAAGAACAACAAGAAAAATAGCTGGGCTTTGTGGCGGGTGCCTGTAGTCCCAGCTACTTGAAGGCTGAGGCAAGAGCATCACTTGAGCCCAAGAGTTTGAGGTTGCTGTGAGCTGTGATGCCACAACACTCTACCAAGGACAACAAAGTGAGACTTTGT